TTAAATAATGATCTACAAATATTTCCCCTGGTTTGTGGCTTATCATTTCATTCTCTTAAAAGTGTCTTTTATTTATTTTTTTTAAAGATTTACTTATTTTTATTTTGAGGGAGAATGAGAGAGAGAGTACATGAGAGGTGGGAGGGTTAGAGGGAGAAGCAGGCTCCTCGCCGAGCAGGGAGCCCAATGCGGGACTCGATCCTGGGACTCCAGGATCATGACCTGAGCCGAAGCCAATCGCTTAACCAACTGAGCCACCCAGGCGCCCTTAAAAGTGTCTCTTAAAGAGCAAAAATGCTAATTTGATGAAGGACCGTGTATCTTTTTTTAATATTTGTACTTTTGAGATCAGATCTAAGATATCTTTGCCTAATGCAAGGTCACAAAGATTTTTTTTCTATGCTTTATTCTAGAAGTTTTATAGTGTGAACTTTTACATTTATGTCTAGGATCCATCTTGAATTTTGTACATGGAATGAGATATAGACTTAAGTTCCATTTATTTGGATATGGATGTCAAAATGTTTCAGCACCCTTTACTGTAAAAACTATTATTTCTCCACTGACTGCCTTTATACCTTTGTAAAAAAAAATTAGTTTCCATATGTATGTATGTATATATGGTTCTATTTCTGGACTCTGTTCTGTTCCATTATTCTGTCTTTTGTGGTAAAATATGCATAATATTTATCATCTAAGCTATTTATAAGTGTATAATTCAGTGACATTAAGTACATTCACAATGTTGTATAATCATCACCATTACCTATATCCAAAACTTTATCATCCTCAACATAAACTCTTTATCTATTAAATAATAACTCTCAAATTATCTCTTCCTCCCAGCCCCTGGTACCCTCTATTCTACTTTCTCTATATATGAATTTGCCTGTTCCAAGTACTTCGTATAAGTGGACTCATACAATATTTGTCCTTCTATGCCTGGATTATTTCCTTTAGCATAATGTTTTCAGAGTACATCATGTAGAAATACAAAAATTCCATTCCTTTTTATGGCTGAATACTGTTCCATTATATGCATATACTTGGAGATAGTTGAGTTTCTTGGATTTGTAGATTGATGCCTTTCATCAAAATTGGGCCATTTTCAGCCATTATTTCTTCAAATATTCTTTTTGTCCCTTTCCTTCTTTCCTTGCCTTCTAGGACTTCCACAATTCATATGTTGATCCATTTGGTGGTGTCCCTCCGGCCCCTTAGGTTCTCTTCATTTGTCTTTTTTTTTAATTTTGTGCTTCTGTTCAATTCAGGCTAATCCCCAACACAGAGACACCCTTTAACAATCAAAAACAAAACGAAAGCAAAACAAAAAGAAAAAAACTTCTTTTTTCTGTCTGCTCAAATCTGCTTTTGAACCCCTCCAGTGAATTTTTCATTTCAGTTATTGTAATTTTCAGCCTCAGAATTTCTTTTGGTTCCTTTTTGTAATGTATTTCTCTTTATTGATATTCTTATTTCATTCATGCATTGTTTTCCTTTGTCCCTGTCTTCCTTTAGTTCTTTGAGCCTCTTAAAAAGACAGTTTTAATGGGGAAATCGGAGAGGGAAATGAACCATGGGAGACTGTGGACTCTGAAAAACAAACAGTGTTGTAGAGGGGAAGGGGTGGGGGGATGGGTTGGCCTGGTGGTGGGTTTTAAGGAGGGCACGTTCTGCATGGAGCACTGGGTGTTATGAGCAAACAATGAATCATGGAATACTACATCAAAAACTAATGATGTAATGTATGGTGATTAACATAATGTAATAATAAAAAAAATCATCTGCTTATCTCTGGGGAAAAAAGACACTTTTAAAAAAGTCTTTGTCTAGTAATCTCAGTGTTGGGGCTTTCTCAGGGTCAGTGTCAATTAATTTTGTTCCTTTGGATGGTCCATACATTTCTTTTTCTTTGTGTGCCTGTGATTTTTTTGTTATTTGTTTTTTTTTTTAAAGATTTTATTTATTTATTTGAGAGAGAGAAAGAGAGAGAGAGAGAGAGAGCACAAGAGAGGGAAGAGGGTCAGAGGGAGAAGCAGACTCCTCGCTGAGCAGGGAGCCCGATGTGGGACTCGATCCCGGGACTCCGGGATCATGACCTGAGCCGAAGGCAGTCGCTTAACCAACTGAGCCACCCAGGCGCCCTTGTTATTTGAAAACTGGACATTTGAATCTTTTAATGTGTTAGCTCTGGAAATCAGATTTTCTTCCTCCCCCTGAATTTGCTGTTTTTTTTTCTTTTTGTTTTGTTTTGCTTCGATTTTGTTTTTGATTGTTAAAGGGTGTCTCTGTGTTGGGGATTAGCCTGAGTTGAAAGCTCAAGGTCTCCTCAGGTCTTTTTGAGCCAGTGTCCTTCCTTGGGCGTGTGTGATGGTGGCTTTCTAAATTCTTCTATATGTTTATTTGCTTTTGAGTGACCTAATCCTCAAATGTGTGACTCCCAAAACAAGGGAAAGGGTAGGGAAGAAACCCAAACATATATCATTCCTTCAAATGCTCTGGAAGCAGCTTCAGTCAATAGGGGTTGAAACAATGGTGGCCAGAAACTGCTAGCCAAGATTTCCCCTGAAAGCTGCAAGCATTTAAATAATGAGAGCTCCAAGATAGTTAATACAGTTCCTGCCAGTACAGTTGTTGTGTAGCTAGAGAAAGGAATTCCTGGTGCTTCCTACTCCTCCAGCTTCTCTGAGGTTACTCTCATATAATCTTTTATAAAGTTCTTTCTGAGCTGTCCTGAAAGGAACCAAGGGAGGAAGTATTCACTCCTGGGCCAGTGCTTTAGAGACCAGAAGAGTGTTCCTTAGATCAGACTAATGAGGCAGTGGGAAAACCCGCCCCCCCCCAAGAATATGGAAAATCAGAAAGATAAAATGTAGACTACCTGGGCAACCATGTTGCCTCACTTGAAGATGGACTTCCAGGACCAAAATCCTGGTATATCTGGGTCCTGTTTCCCTTAAGATGAGTCCCCCTTTTCCAGGACCGAGGAGTCTCTATTTTGGTCTGTCTTCAGTTGCATGCAGACTACAATTTGGGGCTCGAATATTGAAGGCAACCTTTTTCTGACCCTTGGGAGTGTTCCTTTGTCAAATGCACTTAAAATGAATACAAAGAGATCCCAGTTCTCCAGGGACTGGCAGTTAGATTGAGCAGCTGCCCTTAAATAACATACCTTTAAGTAGAGTGTATGGTCCTTTATTAATGGTGTTCAGTATATTCTGCCTTGATCCTAGAGAGCAGCAATTTTATTGCCTTTTGCCTTTCAGCACACCTGTACCCAGCACATATTTGTTGAATTAATGCATTGGGTGGAACAGGTGGATAGGTTCTCTGTAAGAATTTACTGTTAGGACCCTCATTTGCACCTAATAATCACATATGCAAATATATGTATGAACTTCTGTAGACTTAAGTATAAGTAGTCCCTAGACAGTGATTCTCAAACCTTGCTACTCATCAGAATCTCCTGAAGAACTTTCCCCAAACCCTAATTCCTATGTTTTAACCATAGAGATTGTTTTAATAAAAGTCAGGGGTGGGAGCCAGGAATATGTAGTTTTCAAAAAAACTACCTGCGTTATTCTGATTGGCAGCCAGAGTAGAGGACCACAAACCTTTGACTGCCTAAGACAATCTAGTAGTCACAGTAGAGGATATAAAGTGCTTTCTATTATTTAGGGAGATTCTGGGTTAGACATTATAGCATACAGTCAAGAGCAGTAGTTTTTTTTTTTTTTTAATTTTTTATTGTTATGTTAATCACCATATATTACATCATTAGTTTTTGATGCAGTGTTCCATGATTCATTGTTTGTTCATAACACCCAGTGCACCATGCAAAACGTGCCCTCCTCAATACCCATCACCAGGCTAACCCATCCCCCCACCCCCCTACCCTCTAGAACCCTCAGTTTGTTTTTCAGAGTCCATCATCTCTCATGGTTCGTCTCCCCCTCTGACATACTCCCCTTTTCTTCCTCTCCTGTTATCTTCTTCTTTTCCTTTTTTCTTAAAATATGTTGCGTTATTTGTTTCAGAAGTACAGATCTGTGATTCAACAGTCTTGCACAATTCACAGCGCTCACCGTAGCACATACCCTCCCCAATGTCTATCACCCAGCCATCCCATCCCTCCCACCCCCAACCACTCCAGTAACACTGTTTGTTTCCTGAGATTAAGAATTCCTCATATCAGTGAGGTCATGTGATACATGTCTTTCTCTGATTGACTTATTTCACTCAGCATAACACCCTCCAGTTCCATCCACGTCGTTGCAAATGGCAAGATCTCATTCCTTTTGATGGCTGCATAATATTCCATTGTGTATATATACCACATCTTCTTTATCCATTCATCTGTCGATGGGCATCTTGGCTCTTTCCACAGTTTGGCTATTGTGGACATTGCTGCTATAAACATTGGGGTACATGTACCCCTTCGGATCCCTACATTTGTATCTTTGTGGTAAATACCCAGTAGTGCAATTGCTGGATCGAACGGTAAGGAGCAGTAGTTTTGGAGCATGGAGATTGTATTCCATTCTCAGCATAGTCACTTCCAAGCTGTTAGCCTTAGACAAACTAATCTTTCTGGACTTTGGGCTTTTTGGTTTTTGTTTTCAATAGAATAGGGCCTTTAGGATTACCATTAGAATTGATGTGAAGCCTTCCTTAGCACGATACCTCTATTACAGCACACAATAAATGTTGGTCAGATTTATTCTGGTGTACACACGTGCTACTGGATTAGTTCGTATGCAGAATATACTGAAGTACACCTTCTCCAGTCAGTTCTTTAGGAAACTGGTGGGGGGTGGGTGCTAGTTTTCTGGTACCCCAGCCAAGTGAAGGTCAAAAGCCAACCAAAAATGAGGAGTACTATTGGTACTGGTTGTTTTCCGGGCTCCAAGTGCTGTGCTACACATTGTCCACCAGGGGCCGCTGAAGCCACCTAAGCTCAGAGCGCAAAGTAGGGGAGGCCTCCGCGCGTGCTCACTGGGTGCTGCGCGCGCCTCTGAACCTCCTGCGCCACTTTAGATTTCGCCTGCTGTTTTCCTGGTGGCTTCCCCAAACCAAACCTGTGTGGCTGAGTACGGCAGCGCTTTGGGGACAAAAATCTTTCTCTTCCCTGGGCTCGGCCTTGTACTTAATCGTTCCGTGGTTGAATCGGGCGGCAAGTATTTGTGTCTCCATTGCGCTGCTATCCAGGAGGTAGGGGGAGGCTGAGCCCGGCGTTGAGTTCGGGCTGACTGGGGCTTGGGCCCAGCGAGTCGGTGCTGCTGCGCGGATGTTGCGATGGCTGATCGGGGGAGGCCGAGAACCTCAGGGACTGGCGGAGGTAAACACCCAGGCGACCCTGCCTGCCCCCGCAGAGGCCGAGCTTGCTCGAGCGGTGGCTTCGGTCTGAGCCCTGCTCCAGGTCCAGCCGCTGGGGCCCCATGCAGAGGCGGGGCCTGTGGGTTTGGAGGCCGTCGAGGGCGTGTTTGGCGCGCGGGGGAGGGGGGATTGGCGTGGATAGGGACGCTCTGACTGTAGCTAGTGGGAACTCCTGATTCCCCTAAGACCTCGAGAATTAAATATCCCCTTTTCAAAAGGAGGAAACTGAAGCTGATATGATTCAACAACAGGTTCAACAACTAGTCTTCTCCGTACTTAAACTAGCTTCATTTCAATTATAAAATTATCTGACTTAACTAGGAAGCAAACTTTGCAACTTTCTCGTTTATTAGAATTGGTGTCACTTCCTAACATCAACTGATGCTTGCTCAGGGAATAGAAAATCTATTTCATTATTTATTCAACAACAACAAAATATAAAATTATTTTAAAAAATTAATAATTTGCTTCAAAGTCAAGAAAATTATTTTTTTAATTAACTATTTTTGGTAACAGTCACGCTTTCTTCATGGGCCTGAATAATTGGATTGACTGTAATTTACATTTGAAGTGTTGAGAATAAAATAATTTTAGAATCTTAAAAGGATTGAGGTCTGGAATTGATTTCGATTGCCACCCGAGAATTAGAGTTTGTATTTGGATTCCCTTTTATTTATCATAGGAAATAGTTGTTTTGATTGTTTAAAAAGTTGGGGTTGTAAGTCAGCAGCCTTACTTCTCACTTTTAACTTCCTCATACCTTTGCAGTTGAGGCTTACTGTCTATTAAAAAAAATATTTCAAATCAGGTTCATTTCAGATAGGCTGAAATCTTAAACATTAGGGAATAGTTGTAGATAATTATATATGTGACATGATAATTCTGTTTTAACCCGATTATTTGATTAATCATATAATTTCATTATCTAATTCTGCCATGCCTGGTGAACTTTCATTTGAGGGAAGTGGTATACAGTTTTCAAATTTCTCACTTTTGCTTTTCTTTTCAGAACCACTGCTAGAAATGAGATGGTATAAAAAGCACCCACTGCTTTGGGGGTGATTTTTTTGGAGAAAACATTTACGCATGTTAGGTTACACATTTTTCATGTTAAAGTACTTCACTTGTATAACCATTGTGAATTCTACTTTGTCAGAACCAATGATTTTCCTTAATTTATGCAAGAACTGCTTCTAGTTTTAGCAGTATTTCTCTGCTGGGATGATTTTGCCCTTAGGGCATATTTGGCTATGTCTGGAAACATTTTTGATTTTCAGGATGGGGGAGATTAGATTTCTGTTGCATCTAGTATGTGGAAACTAGAGATACTGTTGAATATTCTACACAGAATAGTCCTCAACAGCAAAGAATTACCTGGTCCAAAATCTCAATAATGGCAAGTTTGAGAAATTTATCATGAAATAGTACTGGGTTTGACTATAGAAAGGGGATAGTAAGAGCTACCTTACGGCGGAATAGTTGAGTGAATTATATGCCATATGTGCTTCGCACAGTGTCTGGCATATGGGCTGTGACCTAATTCTCTGTAAATGTTAGCAATTATCTTTATCAGTATTATTGTCCAAACTTGAATTTATTGAATTTATCAGCTCTGAAAGATTTCATTCCTTCTTTTATTCAGTCAGCAATCATGTATTGAGTGCCTATAATGTTTTGGGCACTGTTGTAATCTGTATTTACCCTTTTGACCTGCAGTTTTGTTTCTGTCAAGTTTTAATTGAGAAACACTCATTCTAAATACTGAATTGGATTGGCCCATTGATTCTTTTAGGTCAGGTTTATTGAGGTATAATTTTTAAATATAAAATTCACCTTTCTGCAAATTTATGGTGACTTGAAAAAACTAAAATTTATGGCAAGGGTGAGATTTTCCCCTCTACTTACATTGTTTTTAGTTAACAAGCTGAAGAATGACGATCTGAGTTTAAGGATATTTAGATCAGTTCTAACATGATGTGGATTTGTAGTAAGAAAAATGTATGTTAAATTGGTAGTTAATTGATATTAGGGGAAATAATATATAGTATTAGAACATGGTATCTTACAGCTCTTTAAATCTTGTATTCTTAGATGTATACCATGCAGTTTTATTTCAGTATGGTCTTTTATCATAAATCATTTAATCTCTTTCTCTTTTGTTTTTCTTTTCTTTTTTTCCCCAATGCAAGAAATCTCCTTTACAGACAATAGGTGAAGAACAAACCCAGAATCCCTACACTGAACTGCTTGTACTGAAAGCTCATCATGATATTGTACGATTTCTGGTGCAGTTAGATGAATACAGGTAAGAAGCTCTAGTTGTCCAATTGCCTACTGTTTGGAAAGAATTTTTAGGGAATCACATATTTAAAAACAACTTCATAATTAATATCTTTTGTAAAAATTTCAAATCTGATCATTACTAATATTTATTAGAAATCGACATCTGCATCTTGATCAAATATGTGCCAAAGTCATTTTTTGCCCAGAAGTCAGGGTGTCATATCTGGTGACTTGATGGTGATTCTTGTTTGAGGTTTTTTTGTTTTTTGTTGTTAGTGCTTAGAAATGTTTTTTTGTTAGTTTTGAGGAAGGGAATGACTTTAAAATTTGAGTGGGAGTTATGTTAAGGTGAACATAAATTTCAGAAACAAATATAGGGAATGTTTAACTATGAAGTACCTATTAGGAATGTGCTATTTTTAGTGGAAGGTAAGGTAAGTAATCTGAATGTTTTGTTATTGAGGAAATCCTTTTAAAATGTGTATTATTGGGCGCCTGGGTGGCTCAGTTGGTTAATCGACTGCCTTTGGCTCAGGTCATGATCCTGGAGTCCCAGGATCGAGTCCCGCATCAGGCTCCCTGCTCAGCAGGGAGTCTGCTTCTCCCTCTGACCCTCCCCCCTCTCATGTGCTCGCTCTCTCTCACTGTCTCTCAAATAAATAAATAAAATCTTTAAAAAAAAAAATGTGTATTATTTACTTTCTTGTCAACATGTTCAGTGTTGTGTTTAATTGCAAGTAGAGATGAGGTATGTAGGTCTTAGGACTGTAGATTTAGCTTATTACTGATCTTTATATCTGTTTATTAAGCCCTTATTCAACTAAATGCTTAGTAGCATGTAGCATAAAAACAGTTAATTTTGTAACTGTTTAATATTTATCTTCTCTAGAATCTAAACTTCGTGGGGGAGGCATGTTTTTCTTATTCACCATAGTATCCTTAGTACCTGGCACAGTGCCTTACGTGTAGCAGGTAATTAATAGATAGTTCTTGAATGAGTGACTCCCCAGACTATTAAGTGTGCGTGTTGCCTGCCATCCTAACTCCCTAACCCCCTGTTTTCCCTATCAGTTTTCCCATTCTCATCTCTAATTTTCTCTTTTACCTTTGATAACCATCTTTTTTTTTTTTCCACTTTTGACTCCATGGGTGACTGCTCTTGTGATTATTCCTAATTCTGATCATCACTTCTAATGTCTATTAACCTTGTTTTCTCTCTGCTTTTTTTTCCTATGTCTTTGGTATTGCTTTTACCATGTGCAGTGCAAGTGTGACACCACCTGGAGTTAGGTCAGATTTTACAGGTTAGGGGCATAGTCCTGCACAGCACTTCCCTCTCCTCAGTCACCAGCTGCAGTCTCCAGGGGTGCCAGGCCACCCCCACTTCTGACCAGCTGGCCCTCAGGTTTGATACTTACTAGAAGCACTGACAGAACTCAGGAAAGCAGTATTCTTAGGATTACAAATTTATAAAGGATACAGTCAGGACTAGCCAAGTGCAGAGATGCTTAGGACCAGGTCTAGGAAGGCCTTAAATGCAAAGCTTCTGTGTCCTTAGAACATGTCACCCTTTCAGCACATCAGTGTGTATTACCATCAAGGAACCTCACTCAAGCTCTGGGTATCCAGAGTTTTTATTGGGATTCATTACTAGGAATGATTGAGTCATTTGCCACCCGATTGAACTCAATTTCCATCCCTTCTCTCCCTGCCCTGTCCTCACACTCCAATGCCAGGTTGAGAAGTCAGGCTAATATCTGTGGCTCAAAGCACAACCCTCTAATTACGTGGTTCATATTTCCTACATGGCCAGACCCTATCCTTAGATTGTCTAGAGGGCCCACCCTGAATCATTTCAGGGTCTGGGGAGCCCAGCTCCATTCTAGAAACCAGGGACACAATCCAGCCAAATTATTTTACAGCAATATGTTCCTCAGCTTTTGCTCGAGAAGATTCGTTTCTTATATATATTACTAGCCTATCAACATTGTTTTGTTGTGATATGAGCCAGCCAAATAATAACATGTAAACAATAGTATAATAATCTTCAGACTTTTTGGTAGTATTCATTGTTGATATGTTCTGAGACATTGTTTATTTAGCCAGCCAGTCAGATCTTTGAAACTAAACATTTCTGGAAATATAGGATATTTGGACAGCTAGAGTTTTTTGTTATTTTACCATATTAAGTTGCTAGGTAGGTTTTAAAAAACCCAAATGATTTCTTAGGCTATAATCACTGATATTTGGGTCTTAAGGAATCCTCAGATCATGTTGTCTGAGAAAGTTAAAAAATATACAATGTACTTTCAGGATGCAATCTTTAAATTTTTATATAAAATAACTGTTAAGATTCCATTTTTGTTGTTATTCATCCTGTGAAATGTCCTGTTGGCTCTTATTACATAGAAGAATCTGCAGAAAAGCCCATCTCGTAGAATAATGATAATTGTGCAAATGCTGATATTTGATTACATGTTCCCCACAGTAATGCTCCTGTATAAATCAGTTGTTTAATGAGGTAGTAAATGTTCTGTAAACAGTAAAAAATTATAGACAAATATATCAGTTCTCTATTGCTCTCTCAAATACCACCCCAAGCTTAGCAGTTTCAAACAACCTGCTATTTACTTAACTCACTAACTGCAGGTAGCTACTGAGGGAGGCTCAGCTGGGTGGGGTATTTTTTTTCATCTGTGCCCGGATCAGCTGATCTTGTTTAGGATTACTTAATGCATGTATGGTCAACAGGTAAATTGGCTGGGCTGGATGGTTCATATTGGCCTCAGCTGGGGTGACTGGGCTTTCTCTCTGTATGGTTGCTCAAGTGCTTGTGCACATAGTGATCATGGAGTTCTGATATGAGCGAAAGGGCGAGCCCTGATGTAAAACTCTTCCCAAGACTCTCTATCATGTTTGCTGCTCTTTCATTAGCCAGAGTGAGTCAGGAGCTTGCACAGATTCAGTACCTGGATAAATAAACTCTACCTCTGGAGGGGAGAAGCGACTAAGTCCTGTTGCTAATGCTGGTGGACACAGGAAGGGAGGATAATTTGTGGCCATGTTTGTTACCGATCACACGGAATCTGAATGCCTCGAAATAGATGAAAAACCTACATTTTGGCTTTTGCAGTAAAGTGAAGTTTTTACTACATGAGTCACATTTAATTCTTTGTGCTCAAGTCGTTGCTGTGTCAAAATTTACATCTAGTTAGATACAAGGTTTTCCTGTCAGTGAAAGACCTATAGAAGTTTCAATGTATGTTTGTTTTAAAAAATTTAATTCTGCCCTGAAAAACCCTGAAGGAGTCACTACTGGTAAGGAAGATATAAGAAATCTACAAACTATATAAATACTTACTTAAATAGAATTAAAAGCATGGCATTTTCATTCTTAATTTAGTAGTTTAGATAATTTAGAATTATCTTTACCATTGCTAATGTACATTATTTGTGTATGGTCACATTAGAGAAATATATATTATACTTTTTATGTTTTTATTTAATTTTTGTGGACCTTACTACATTCTGGTTTTTTGGTCAGCTGTTGTAATCCAGGTTTCACGCTTCAGGTCTTTAGATAATATCATTTTATTGAGAATTTTGCAGAAGGATTTTCTTGTTTTCTTGGCAGCTCAGCTAAAATCAGTGAGTGGAAAATTTTCACAGATTGGTTTTTGAAGATACAAAATAAATCCTGTATAACCTAACAGACAGCTGCCTTTTCTTTTCTTCTTTAGTGTTTTTTGAACATGAAGTGAGGGTCATATTGATTGGGAGATCACTAGAGAAGGCTAAGCCTCAGCAAGAGTCTTCCAAAAAATGGACTGTGCTAAAATTGCATGTAATACTCTAGCATTTGACACATTAAACTAAATGGAGTTCATAACACATTTTAAGAATAGTTTTCTTTGTTGCTTATTTGACCATTCCTTGCTCCTCCAGGAAACAGACAAGGTTATGTAGGATGGTGATCATGACTGGAAAAAAATTAGGTGACCCATGAAATGCCAGACTGGAGAACAGAATGTGCCCCTAGGATAGCTGGTCCAGCTGTACATTTACAAGATACTAAACAAACTCATCCAGTTGGATAATTCACTAACAACAAACATTATGTTATATCTTTAAGGAAGTATTCTTTTTTTTTTTTAAGATTTTATTTATTTGACAGAGAGAGAGCACAAGCAGGGGAAGCAGTAGGCAGAGGGAGAGGGAGAAGCGGGCTCCCCACTGAACAGAGAGCCCAATGCAGGGCTCGATCCCAGGACCCTGGGATCATGACCTGAGCTGAAGGCAGCTGCTTAACTGACTGAGCCACCCAGGCACCCTATTTAAGGAAATATTCTTAAGCTAAAATTATCTTTCTCATTGACATTCGGAGAATAGAAATCAGTAGTCAAGGTGATTTAGACCCTTTTCATACCTGAGTTCCCTGCAAAGCAGATAGGAAAATGGAATTAAACACACAAGTGGTTTATTAGAAACATCAATGAAAGGAAAAGGGAGGAAGCAGGATTAGACAAGGGGAGCTATCTCAGACTGTGTAGATCTGACAGTCTCTCTAGGCCCAGTGGGGAACTCTGGAGGAAAGAATGCTCTTTAGAGGAATTCTGTGTTGGATAGAAACAAATGGGACTTTTAACCCTGCCTTGCTTAGTCACTGGCTGAGGGTCATCCAGGAACGTACTTAATTTCCTTTGGCTGGGAGCCAACTGAGATGGTTATGACTTTGGCTTGAAAGCCTGAAAGTGAACAGCTGGAGGCAGGTAACCACATTCTTTTTTTTTTTTTTTTTTAAGATTTTATTTATTTTTTGACAGCGAGAGAGGGAACACAAGCGGGGAGAGGGAGAAGCAGGCTCCCCCCAGAGCAGGGAGCCCGATGTGGGACTCGATCCCAGGACCCTGAGGATCATGACCTGAGTTGAAGGCAGATGCTTAACGACTGAGCCACCCAGGCGCCCGGTAACCACATTCTTGAGAGCTGGGCAGCTTCGTCTCTTGAACGGCTATCTGCAAG